ATGGAGAAATTTCACCAGCTAAGTGCTGTTGATAGAGTCCAGGTTTGACCAAGTGCAGTATATGGTGACAACTGCTTTGTACACTGGACTACTGTTGACAACCACGGCCTCCGCAAGTCAGTCAAAGTATTGGAGGTTTCAACATATTTCAACTTGGAGAGGAGATCAAATATTTTGCTGATTAGGTATGGGGTGATATAGAAATTTTGTTTCAGCAACATTCAACTAGTGACCAAGCTTCTTGTATGCAAATCTTGTGCAGAGTAGGCGATGACACTGCAGTGATATGCAAACTGTACATCATACATGTCTGCAATGGTTCGTTTAACCTTGACATTGAAGAATTTTCTAAGTATGGAACAACAAATCAACAGTCTTCTGATGTGATCTAACTACTTACTTTATTACCTGTTTAAGGACAGGTACGGTCAGGGAAGGAGCACCCAGATTTCGGTCTACCAGACTTTTACTTATCATACAAAACCTTCTGCTACTCCTTTTGTGAAGATCTGAAATACCCCACAAAATGCTGATAGGCCAGAGATTTAAAAAAAACAGAATGCTGAAAGTCTTTAAAAGATCAGACAGCATCTGTAGACAGAAAGAATTATTTCAGGTGTGACTCTTCAGACTTGTTAAATTAACTGTTTTCTCTCCATAGATGCTACTTCATCTTTTGAAGACTTGCAGTATTTTTTTGCCTTTATTTCAGATTACCAGCACCTGCAACATTTTGCCTTTTTTATCTCCCCACCAATATTTCCAACCAGGGACAACTCCAGTCTCTTTAGGTTATTATTGTTTTAACTAGTTTAGTTGCCTTGAATCCATGAAGAAGAAATGTTGCCCTTGCACAGTTCAAATATTGACTCAAAAACATTGGATCTTATTGTGCCTAGTAGAAAGTTTACTGACGTTATATAGCTTAGCACAACACAAGTTTCCTAGCACATTGTGTACTCTCTTCTATATTTATCATTACACTAATTAATCACAAACTTTTAGCAAATAATACAGTCCAATACTAATACATCATTTTTTGGCAAAAATACCTGCATGAGCTCAAATATTTCTTTCTTTGTGCTTTTAGGTTCCAGAAAAAATCCATAAGGGTAGGAGCACTTCAAGATACGTCGTGTTTTCAAGAGTTCAAGTACTGCTTCTTCAATAAAAGTGGTATCTGGGGACCCTCCTTCAACTGATAAGATAAAGCACGAAATATTACACTGTGAAGAACAATACTATTATTATTTACGGTCACTTTTTCAAAAGAAAAATACAGAAACAGCTGAAGAAGCTGCATCCAAGCTCCCTGATGGACTATCCCAAAGCAACTTCACATTTTTGTTTAATTGTATTGCTTGATACTGACTTACAAGACCCAAAGTAAACCCAAAAATGGCATAGTAGAGTGTATTCCTTGACAAAAAAAAAACATTGCTTGATATTGAAGTAATCCAAAGAATCTCACAGATGGCTTTTACTCTTGCTGATCTCTGTCTTCACTCACAGAATTTGCCTCGATTACTCTTCCCATTGTGATGCAGCACAATGAATTAAATCGATCTACTAATTCAGCTCGCTGGCATATCTGCCCACAGCTCCAGCTCTAAGCCACAGAGGGTAACTCAAATTGCTACAGCTACATTAACCTTCAGCCCAACCCCAGTTACAGAGGTGAATATTATGGGTAGCATACTTCACCCAGTGCAAATTCTGCAGCACAGATCTTAGCAGAGTTACTGACTTTTAAAGTGAAATGAGTCTGCTCTCTGAAGTGGCTTTCTGGGATCCATATAGCTGGAGTCATGGTAAACTGGACAAAATTTGGCAGCCCATATAATCTTGCTGGCTGGAGACACAGACTCTTAAAGAGGAGATTGGAGCCCTGTCTCATTGAGGTTGATGAACAAAAATGCACCAAGAAAATCCATGAAGAGATTTTTTCCTAGCAAGGACAAGCTCAACGTCCACAGTAATGTTTGTAATTTAGTCAAATCTATGGTTATTTCTACAAGTGGATATTCCAACTGTTTTGGACCAGATCAAACCCCCTCAAAATATACTAAGAGAATAGCCTAGACCCTAACTTGTTCTTTTTTAAAAAGCAAGTGCCAGGTGTTGCGTTCCAGATGCAATTTGATTGGTCAAAATACCAGGTTTGAAGCAAAACGCACTTTATTCATACACCATAGTTAAAATACAACAATAAACTGGAATGACTTAACTCTATTGGAAAACTTAAAAGAATAATACATTATTTAACTATTAAACAGTAACTGTTCCAATATAGTAACATTCCACAAATACACCCTTGGTAAAAGGCAAATTCAGTCAAATAGATAGTCTCACATGCAATTCAACATTCCAGTAGGAAGAGAACTTTCAACTTTTAGCTATAACTGAGAGAGGAGAAACAGCTAGCTTCAAGACACCAGCAGTTGCTACCAAAACCTAAAACTAAAAATCCTGGTTTGGTGGAAGCTTGACTCCATTCATTCAGGCTGCTTCTATTCCAACTTGAAAAAGTCCTCAAGGCCTCACAAACTGTTTACTCTAGTGGCTCTGAGTAGACTGCTTGTTAGCTCTCTCTCAATATTTCTTCACAAAAAAGGGCAAAATACACCTCTTAAAGCCAAAATATCGTTACACAACCCATGATGAGATATTTCTATTTTCCTTCTATTTGATGTAAATTTGACTGTAAATTTGTTACACTAGAAAGCCAGAGTCTGAATGGCAGTTACAATGTTTACAAACCCAGACTGCTTGAAAGACCTTTTAATTAGGATTGTAGGCCATAATGCAGCAACTTTTAAAGAAGTGAGAAGCTTTAAATCTACAAGAACTATGTTTTTTTTGAACAGAAGGATTTGTTTGAGAAAGTAAGTCCATAGATAGTGGAAATGTAGTGGACCTGGTGTGCACGCTTTTGTTCAAAAGCTTTTTGCTGGAAGGTTTGCTGCCAAACTGAAGTTATGTGACATTGAAGAGAATCTGGGATCATTGAAGTGTATCTGGCCTACAGATGGAAAATGGTAGAATTAATCAATTTTTATTTTGAAAGAATGGAAACCACATAAAAGTAATGTGAACTTGATTTGAAAGAGCAAAACATCACTTTGCAACAATACAGAAGTTAAAAGATGTGGACAGCAAGTAACTGAGAAGGAAACTTAAAATTTAATAGGTGGTGAGAGATATATGCTGGATGAGTTTACGGAGGAAAAGTGTACTGGGATACATTCAGGGAGGAAGAATGCGAGGAACAAGCTTCATTATTAAATACCAGCACAAGAACAGATAGTGTCAAGGACTGGATTGGAAAGATGGTGGCTTAATAGTTAAGCCACTGGAGAAGTAATCCTGAAGCCCAGAATAATGCTCTGGAAACATGTTCAAATCCCACCATGGCAGCTGGTGGAATTCAAATTCAACGATTACATCTGCACAATAAGGCTAGTCTTAGTAATGTTGCAGAAACTCATTTAATTTTCTCTGCTAATTAAACAGGGTATCCTTGCCCTATCTAGCCTATATGAGACTTAAGACCCCTAACAATTTGATTAGCTCTGAAAGGGCAGAGCAAATCATTCAGCTCAAGTACAATTAGCAACAGGCAACAAATTCTGAGTGTCACTGGCAAGGCCAGATCCTTTGAAAGAAATCTTTTTGTTTTAAAAACCTGATCTTCAGGTTGGACTGCTTCACTTTCTATCCAAATGATGCTGTGATCATTTTCCACTAAAGAGCTTCACACAACAAGATTATTATTTAACCTCTTCTCATTGCACAATACCAAACCTCGGATAGCCGTTTCCTTAGTGGGCTCCTGAACATACCAGTCTTAAAAACCATTCTGTGCACACTTCAAAATGCATTCGCCAATGTAAGGGAAGTTGGGCAGGAGATGTCTACAACAGATGCGTTGGATTGAGAAGGCAGCTGAGAGGGGTTTACGAAATAAAGTCTGCAGTAGGTGCGAAGGGAAATTAGGAGGCTCCAAATGGGGACGCAGGAAGGAGGTTACAAGAGGGGTGCAGTGCAAGAAGGAACTGCATGAGGGGTATGGGAAAATAATGAGGCCTCAAGGGTGTTTGGGGTGAGAGGATATATTCAAGATGGGGTGGTGAGAGAGAAAGGAGGGAGGCTACCAAAAAAAAGGGACATCATTTTAATATGTCAAATGAAGAAAAACGCAGCTAACTAGGATCCAAGAAAACTTCAAATCACTGAGGTTACAAATTCCTTGTGAACGAACGTAGAATGTCTGGTTGAAGGTTGCGTACTTCAAGAGTTACTACACTTGGAAAAATTGAAGTGATTCCTATTGAAATGAACACTGTCAATTCTTAAATTTAAATCTGAGATTGCATTCTGAGCTGCAGTAGATAGGGTTGTAACTGCCCTGTTGAAGTCTTCCAACTTTGTGCACGTGCTTTGCAGTTTTGCAGGAGCAAAACTTTCCTTGTTAAGCCATGTCTCACATTTAATGGAGACGTGATAATATTGAGGATATGCATGAATTATTCCAAATCTACTCCTGTGCATGTCAAAATACCTTATATACCATCACAAATACAGGTATTGTTATTGTGTGACATATCAACTAATAAAATGTGGCATGAATGAAAAAACCCTGAAGAAAATTTTGAGAGAGAAGCCATTGAAAAATGATTTTGACCACTGCTCCCAGGGTTGATGATCGACCTTCCACAATTACAATCAAACTGCAAGTTATCTGAACCTCTGGAAAGTGTTGAAAATTACTGAATACTTTAATAAGGTAAATAGATTCAATATATTTTCACTCTCTGGCTAGTCATTAACATTTTGATAGAAGTTGAAGATGGCCACTAACTGAGTTAAGGGAAAAGAGGAGGGGCGGCACGTTGGCTCAATGGTTGACACTGCTGCCTCACAGTGCCAGGATACTGGGTTCAATTCCACCCTTTGGGGACCATCTGTGTCAAGTCTGCACATTCTCCCTGGGTCTGCATGGGTTTCCTCCCATAGTCCGAAGATGTCCATGTTAGGTGGATTGGCCATGCTAAATTGCCTGTAGTGTTCAGGAATGTGAAGATGAGGTGGGTTATAGCGGGAAAGGTCTGGGTAAGATGCTCTGAGGGTCAGTATGGACTTGTTGGGCTGAAGGGCCTGTTTCCACACTATAAGGATTCTATGAATTGTTATTAAATGTAGAGGATGGTTGGTTCACAGAATGACCCATCAAAAACAGAAGTGGAAGTAAAGTCATTCGTAGTTTTCAACATAAACTAATATTCTTTAAAGTTTATCATCTGCTGCATTAAATGTAGCCTGCAGATGAGGTGGGATTAACAAAGAGAGTATTGGATTTTGGATACAGATGCAAATCAAATTCCATAATAACATTAGGTGAAGGCATTTTTAAAAGAAATTCTTGGGTCACAAAATCACCAAATTGTTATGGTGCAAAAGGCTGTCATTCAGCCCATCATGTCTACATTAGATTGTGTTCTAAAGGAAAATATGCAGCAATTTAGGATATAGGAAACAGCGGCAACAAGAACTTAAGCATTTCCATGCAGCTCAGACTGAGGAGCTGAATGACTCAAATTTTAAGTGCTACACAACAGGAGGATGTGCTTGCAGTGTGACAAGTTGACATATGTAGTTTCTACTAAGTAACCACAGGAATGTCTTTGACAAAAGGTCACAAAACAGCAACAAAAGTGTGACAACAGGAAGTAACCTTTCATAGACAGGACATTGTACAGTCTAAAGACATTAAAGAGCAAGTAAGAACAATGGTTTCAGTTAATAGTCTTTCAGAAAGTTTCCACGGGCCTTAGTAGTCAAAATTCTGCCTTCTGTAAAATGTTATAAAAGAAAATATCCCACTTTGTAACTCCAGGCTGTTTTCTGAGCTTTTGTATATCAGGTTTCCAGCCATAAAACAGTAGCATTAATCTCTTTAGACTATATTAATTACTGACTTTATCACCTACCTCCCTTTAGAGCTCTGCTTAGTTGTTCCATCTTTTCTTTAGCAGTTTTCAGAAGACGTTGCTCTAACTAAAAGACAAAAAAGGCTTATTTTTATTTGACTCAAAGTTGGCAGTATTAAATGACAAATAGTTCTTCTGTAACATACCTTATAACTATGCTCATGGTTTTTAAACCTTGTGTAGTAGTGCATAAATCTGTCTAGTTCCTGAAATTTTTTGTGCTTTTTCTCAGCCTGAAATAGAAGATGGATTTTTCAATTGCGTATTTCTTGACAAAGAAAGCCTCAGGTATCAGTGCATTTTAACAAATATACACAATGTTTACTGAAAAAGGACTGAGATAAGAGGTTGAACAAATATTCTACATCAAGTCAGAAGTCAAGAGAAATATACAAAAGGAAGAACAATACAAGCTAAACATGTCTACATGAGACATTTTATAAAAAGCACATTTTATACCAGCACACTATGTTGAAAAACCATCACCATCATTTCTTCCTCCACTAACACAACCACTTCTGTCTTTACTGATCACGTAATGAGGTTAATAAAAGTGAATAAGCAAGGAAAGCAGAAAGAACAAACCACAGAAACTTAAAGAAGGCAATCACAATGAAAATGTTTGCTGAAAATATCAACTTATTAATTTCACTTCCAAAAAAATGCTTACTTCAGCCGTCATTTCCTTGGACTGTTCTTCAACTTGTTGGATCACTTCATATCGAGTGCATCTATAGTAGCCTCCAGTGGATGAGCTATGCTTTTTCCATTCTTCCAAACATATCCAACAAAAATCATATTTGCACTGTGGAGGATGCAGAGATGCTTCAGTATGATATGGATATGCTGAGTGAGTGGGCAAATGCATCATAATGTGGATAAATGTGAGGTTATCCACCTTAGTTGCAAAAAAATAGGAAGGCTAATTATCTGAATGGTGACAAATTGGGAAATCACAGGTTCAACGAGATCTGGCTGCCCGCGTACTCCAGTCACTGAAAACATGCACTGAAGAAGGCAAATAGTATGCTGATCTTCCAAGTGAGAGCATTTCAGCACAGGAGCAGGCATATCTTGCTGCAATTTGCATAGGGCCTTGGTGAAACCACACCTGTCCTGCCTTGTGCAATTTTGGTCTCCTTATCTGCAGAATGATGTTTTTCCTACAGAGGGAGAGCAGCGATTTCTTGGATGGAAAGGTTGACGTATGAGAAGAGGTTGAACTGGTTGGGGTTATACTCCTTGGGGTTCGGGGAGAAAGAGAAGCTCATATTAACCTATAAATTTGTAACAGGACTACACAGGGGAATTGCAGGAAGGATGCTTATGACAACCAGAGAGCAAGAACCAGGGGGCCAGTCTAAGAATATAGGGTAGGTATTTAGGACTGAGATGAGAAGAAATTTCTTACCCAGCCTGTGAAACTCTCTGCCAGAGAAATGTTTAAGGCCAAAATAGTGAATGTTTTCAAGAAGGATTTAGATATAGTTCTTAGGCCTAAAAGGATCAAAGGATATGGGGAGAAAGTGGGAAAAGGTATGGAGTTGAATGATCAGACATAATCATATTGAATGGTGTAGCAAGCTTGATAGGCCAAACAGCTTACTCCCGCTCCTACTTTCTATGTTTTTAAGGATACTGTAACATCTGGTTCCAATATTAAAAGGTCCACAATTCAAATAGTTCACTTTTGAAGTGCACTTCTCTCTATAAATTATGATAAATTTATCCGAATATATTTCAATGTAACTGCACAGAATAAATGATATATTGAAAGATAACGTAACCCATGCATTACGGCTCTGTCCACATACAAGCATTTCAAGGTCATTAAAGGTCACAGAATATGGTCAATAACAATGCTATCTTAGATAAGGTTATCCAACAATTTCTACATTCCCAGATAAGTCCAGAAAAGGCCATATAACTAAATATATGATCCTATTCTCCAACAAACAGCAGAATCAAGACAAATGTCTAATAAGTTAAGGAAAATGTATTCCAGAATCTATTCATGGCCTATTTGGAATTTGATCAATTTGAGACTCTGTAACAGTGTTAAACCCCAAGAGAAGGTATGTATCATAAAAGTCAGAAAAAGAGTGAAATGAAATTATTCAAGTTTTCTATACTTGGAATAAAACAAGGGGTAGAAGCAGTTCTGGAAAAAAACAGAAAAGTGACTGCAAAAGGAAAGAAATATACAGTGAGTAGGATTTTTTCGGGGAGGACCATAAAGCATAAGCTGAATGAGTATTGGATGCCCAAAATTAAGAAGAATTTGCTTTATTTGTCTAACCATGTTAACTATTCCTATTGCAAGATGTCAAAGTTAAGAACCAGTGTTTGAAATTAAATATAACATGATGATTTTACCTCGCCAAATAGATTATAGAAATACATAATTCCACAACCTACCTGAATATCATCATTAATACAAAACAATGTTAATGTATCACAAATTTGCCCCATATGCAACTGGTGAAACACTGCTTTCAAGTAATTTAGAATGAGCTGGGCAACATCTCTCTCTGGATGGTCAGTTTACAATGCTCACCTTGGCACATTGCATGTGATTGCAGCCCTCATTCTTTTGAATTGGAGATTTGCAGTTGGCGCATGGTTTAGAGTTAGACAGCAACCAAAGACAATTGGCAGCATCTTCAAAAGCTTCATTTACACCAGCAACTATTAGCATAACAGAAGATGGTTAGCCATTTAACTGGTTTTGTTTTGCTATCAACTTAAAATATTATTTTCAACCACTTTAAACATTCAACATTGTGAAAAGCTAAAAATTACACAAAATGTTTTCTTTCCAGGCAATGTTCAGTGTGCACTGCTTTGACAGTCAAGTACGCAGATTTGTTTCCCAATTTCAATTATATTGTCATGGGAAAGTGACAGAAAGCACGCAGGATCGGTTACATTCTAATTCATCCAGACAACTGTCATGTGTTTGCTGAGCTTGCAACATTGACAGAAATTTGGCAGCAGGTTAGTTACAGTCAACAAAAACAAACTGCTTAAGAAACTCAGCGGGTCTGGCAGCATCTGTGGAAAGAAAGCAGAGTTAATGTTTTGTGTTCAGTGATCCTTCTTCAGAACTACTGGCAGCAAGGAAATGGTAGTCTATATGCAGAAGATAGAGCCTGCCACTTCAATACACCATTACGTTTCCTGGCCAACAATTCTGGCCTGCTGCAGTATTCCAGCAAGGCATAGTGCAAACTGGAAGAGTAATACATTTTGCCCTTGCTTGGGGGATTTGAAGCCTTCAAGACTCAATTCTCAGTTATGGAACCTGAAAACTTTGCTCTATGGCCTTTGACCACCACCATAGCCTAGGACCTGTCTTGACATGGGCTGCTTTCAGCACAAACATCAACTTTTCCTCCTTTACGGTCCCTCTTATCAGATTTTCTTTCTCTCTGGCTTACCTTCATGCACCCCTTTCCTGTCTAAGTGTCTTTCTCTCCCTCCATCTCCACCTATTTGCTTACTCCTCTCTTCCTCTTCCACCCGACCCACCACCCCAATCCCCCAGGCCTGATTTCAGCCTGTTTACCACCTTTTCCTAGCTGCTAATAGTTTCGAGGAAGGATCATTGGATCCGATACATTAACTCTGCTTTTTCTTCACAGTTGTTGCCAGACCCACCAAGTTTCTCCTGTAATTTCTGTTTTGTTTCCAGCATTCACTGTTCTTTTTTTAAAAACTTTAGCTACAGCCAATGTGGGTTTTGAAAGTAAAAAAGAATCAGGTGGACAAAGAAAATAGCAGCATTTTGCCTTTTATAATTCTGGACACTGAATTCCACAGAATGGAACTAAAGTTGCATGCATACAAAGCATCCCCAAAGTCCTGGCATGTAGCATTGATCCATCCCACTACAGTCAGACTGTGCATTATAAGATTTATATTCCTGATATCATCCTTTTGAATATGCAGCTAAAGTGAGAAGACTCTAAATACTGGAAGTCTTCTCCCAGAGAAATAGAGGTGGAGGATGAAATTTAACAAATGTACACAATTCTGAAACTGTTTGATCATTATACATCTATGAGAGGTGAGTGAAGATTGAAGACAGACAATTTTGCAGGTAAAAGTTACTGGTTTGGTCTTATAAAGTGCATTATCTTGGTTTACTTTTCCTCAGTAGATTATTTATTGTACTGTTCTATAATTAAGAAATTTGGGAGTGGGGAAGCAATGAGATAGCCAACAAGAGTAAGCTTGGACTAAGTTGAGGGTTGGGATAGATTGAAAGGCAGATTGTGAAATGTTCAAATTTCAGTAATGTCACAAGCTACAAAAATGCAAAAAAAGACTCTTTAAAAGAATCAGACAAGAATGTGAAGCAAGTCTTACGTTCTTCTGGTTTCATTTCTGTGATTTTCTGGAGCCAGTTTTTCCATGTTGAACAATCGCAGGGCTCATGGGCTTCTCCTAGACACTCCCTAAGGGAAATAATATATTAACATCCTAAGAAGTTCAACTGAAAGAAATAATTTCCAAAATAATGAATTGATTTGGAGCAAAATAATTAAGATATTGGCCACCCAATGATACAGAGGATCTGCGTTACAGTATGGAAGTGCACCCAGAATGAGGGTCCATTGAATCAATATTTCAGGCAAATTCTGATTTCCATTAGCATATTGAAAAGAGCAACTGAATCATCCATAAAACACTGGAGAAAAAGATCATTCAGCTGATTGGGTCTGCTCTACCATTCAATGAGATCACAGCTGATCTGTGAATCTTCAACTACACTTTCCTATCTTTTCCAATGAGCCTCTATTCCCTTACTAATGAAAAATCTATATCTCAACATATTATATACTTAATGACAGAGTCTTGACAGCCTTTTGCAGTAAAACATTCCGAAGATTCACGACCTTCAGAGAAGGAATTCCTCCTCATCGCTGTCCAAACTAAGTGATCCCTTACTCTAAGATTATGCCCTCTAGTTCAGGACTCTCCCACAAGGGAAAATAACATCTCAGTATCTACCCAACCCAGCCCTGTAAGAATCCTGCTCTCATTCTGAACTCCAACAAGTGCAGGCCCAACTTACTCAACCTCCTCTGATGAAGAAAATCCCTGGGATTAACCGAGTGAACCCTTCTCTCTGGACTGCTTTCAATGCCAATGCAGCCTTCCCTAAATAAGGGGATTAAAACTGTTCACAGTTTTTCAGGTGTGATCTAACTACTAACCTGTATAGTTTAAGCAAGAATTTCTGATCTTTGTATTCCAGTTTCTTTGAAATATGCACAATTGCTTGTTAGGGAAGTAAAGAAAATTTCCGCTTCCTACTGTCCAATGAACTTAATGCTAGCTTTTTATGATCCCGTAGGACCCATAAAGATATAGGAGCAGAATGAGGCCATTCAGCTCATTGAGTTTATTTTGCCATTCCATCAAGGCTAGCATATTTCTCAACTTCATTCTCTTACCTTCTCTCTTCAACCCCTGATCCCCTTATCCCCTTACTAAGCAAGAATCTATCAATCTCTCTCAAATACACTAAATGACTTAGCCTCCACAGCCCTTGCAGCAATGAGTTCCACAGAGTCACCACCCTCTTGCTGAAGAAATTCCTTCTCATTTCAGTTCCAAAAGGTCATCTCTTCCCCCTGAAGCTGTGCCCCCGAGTCCTAGCCTCCCCTACTAATGGTAGCATCTTTTCCACATTAACTCTATCCAGGCCTCTCAGTAAGTTTGAATCAAAGCAACCCCCTCATCCTTCTAAACTCCACCAACTACAGACCCAGAGTCCTCAACTGCTTCTCATGTGACAAGCCCTTCATCCCCAGGATCATTCTTGTAAATATCCTCTGGGCTCCTCCAACGCAGCACATCTTTCCTTAGATATGGGGCCCAGAACTGCTCACAAATTCCAAATGCAGTCTCAACAGAGCCTTAAATAGTCTCAGCAGCACATCTTTCCTTTTGTATTCTAGCCCTCTCAAAAAGAATGTTAACATTGCATTTGCCTTCCTAACTGCCAACTGAAACTGCATGTTAACCTTAAGAAAATCTTGAACCAGGACCCTCAAGTCCCTTTGTGCTTCAGATTTCCCAGTTTAGAAAATATTATACACCTCTATTCTTCCTACCAAAGTACCTATAATTACATTCTCCCACAGTATGTTCAATCTGCTACTTCTTTTCCCACTCGCCTAGCCTGGCCAAGTCCTTCTGCAACCACACCGTCTCCTCAACACTACTTGCCCCTCAATCTATTTTTGTGTCATCTGCAAACTTAGTAACAACGCTATCAGTTCCTTTGTCCTTCATGATTCATGCACAAGAACCCCCAATCACTTTGTGCTGCAGCTTTTTGCAGTCTTCTCCCGTTAACACAATATTCAGCTTCTCTACTCTTCCTGCCAAACCTCCCATTTTTCACATTACATTCCACCTAGAAACATAGATTAAGTAAAAGTGAGTGGGTGAAGCTATAAGATACATGAACAGGAGTTGGCCTTTTGGCCCCTCAAGCCCCTGGTCTGGCATTCCTCACGTCCACTTCACTGTTCTTTCCCCTTATTCCTCAATTCCCCTAGTGATCAAGAATCTAATCTTAATTATATACGAGGACTCTGCCCCCATAACTCTCAGTGGCAAGGAGTTACAAAGACTCTAACCCTCAGAGAAAAATTTCCAGAGAGTGACAGACAGCATGCGTGAGAAGCACCTTGGGAGGGAGAGAGAGACAAGGACTGAAGGAGTAAAGGTGGCAGATTATGAGGATAGGAAGATTCAATTATTTGAGATATTGTACAAAATGGAAGGTTTCAGCTTCTTGGGATATTGATATCAGTTCTACAATAGAAGCCTCTGGTTAGTGAGGGACAGGTTATATTTTAACAGTTCTGAACCTGTGGTGCTCCTCGTCAGGTTCACTTTGTGAGTTGACAGGGACGGAACTAAGGTGGCAAAAGATAGCATTAGAATATAGTACAAGAGAGGAAAGAGGTAGGATAAAATGAGCGTTTTGAATAGCATACAGAAGGAATAGCACTGCATAAATTAGGTTCAAACTGAGAGTATAAGGAAAACAAATAAAGGTTTACAATTCATGGATGTAAACAGGCAAGTGAATAATGCTTGATGAATAAGATTGGTAAGCTGCAAGTGCAACTAGTGTCGTGGGAACACATCAAGGGCAATATTGGAAAAGTGGCTTTAAAAAGTGAGAATTGGGTAGTTAATATTCAGGAATATGTATTATTGAGAAATAGGCAAGTAAAAATGGGAAGTAGGGCAGAAATACTGATTAGAAAAATATGCTGTAATGTTAGTAAGAGGATGCCTTGAAGGGTTAAAATTCAGAGGCTATTTGGTAGTGAGGAACTTTGGTTATCCAAATATTGATTGGAACAATATTTAAGGGTACAGTATGATAACTTTATATAACTAGTGTTATAATTATGCATATGTCATTTTCTGCAGGAATAGATCAAAACAGGAAAAGAAATTTTGCAAATAGGCTGCAAAGCTTTGTTGACAGCAAGTCTGTGCAGACTTAACATTTTTATTAATTATACATAAATGTTAACATCATACCATCTTCATCTGCAGCATGGCTGACCCACTGAGCAACAGAACCATGGGACAAAATGAGAAGCATGACAGCAAGGAAAAAATCTGAGTAAAGCAGAGATAAGCAGAAAATGATTTATGGCCATATTGTGCATTATTCAGTAGCGTCTATCCTCCAGATTTAATTAACCAATTTTCAAAATTAACAGAAAAAAAAAGGATAAAATTAGATCTTAACATGAAAAAGCCCAGAATTCCATGTAATAAATGGAGTTTACAACAAAGAACAAAGAAAATTACAGTACAGGAACAGGCCCTTCAGCCCTCCAAGCCTGCACCAACATGCTGCCCGTCACAACTGAAACCCCACACCCTTCTGGGGACCGTATCCCTCCATTCCAATCGTATTCATATATTTGTCAAGACACCCTTTAAAAGTCACTATAGTATCTGCTTCCACTACCTCCCCCAGCAGCGAGTTCCAGGCACCCACCTCCCTCTGTGTAAAAAAAACTTGCCTCGTACAATACCTTTATACCTTGCCCCTCGCACCTTAAACCCGTGGCCCCTGGTAACTGACTCTTCCACCCTGGGAAAAAGCTTCTGACTGTCCAGTCTGTCCATGCCCTTCATAATCTTGTAGACCTCTATCAGGTCCCCCCTCAACATTCGTCGTTCCAGTCAGAACAATCCAAGTTTCTCCAACCTCTCCTCATAGCTAATGCCCCCCATACCAGGCAACATCCTGGTAAATCTTTTCTGTACCCTCTCCAAAGCCACCACATCCTTCTGGTAGTGTGGCGACCAGAATTGAACACAATATTCCAAATGCAGCCTAACTAAGGTTCTATAAAGCTGCAACATTACCTGCCAATTTTTAAACTCAATGCCCCGGCCAATGGGGGCAAGCATGCCATAAGCCTTATTGACTACCTTTTCCACCTGCATTGCCTCTTTCAGTGACCTGTGCACCTGTACACCCAGATCCCTCTGCCTATCAGTACTCTTAAGGGTTCTGCCATTTACCGTATATTTTCCATCTGGATTAGACCTTCCAAAATGCATTACCTCACATTTTTCCAGATTAAACTCCAACTGCCATCTCTCTGCCCAAGTCACCAACTGATCTATATCCTGCAGTACCCTTTGACAGTCCTCAACGCTATCCACAATTCTACCAACCATTGTCATCAGCAAACTTACTAATCAGACCAGTTACATTCTCTTCCAAATCATTTATATATATTACAAAACAGCAAAGGTCCCAACATTGATTCCTGAGGAACGCCACTAGTCACAGCCCTCCATTCAGAAACGCACCCTTCCACTGCTACCCTCTGTCTTCTATGACCGAGCCAGTATCTTGCAAGCTCACCTCTGACCCCATGCGACTTTACCTTCTGTATCAGCCTGCCATGAGGGACCTTGTCAAAGGCCTTGCTGAAGTCCGTGTAGACAACATCCACTACCCTACCCTCATCGATCATCTTCGCCACTTCCTCAAAAAACTCAACCAAGTTAGTGAGACATGACCTCCCCTTCACAAAACCATGTTGCCTCTCGCTAATAAACCCATTGATTTCCACATGGGAGTAAATCCTGTCTCGAAGAATCCTCTCCAATAATTTCCCTACCACTGATGTAAGGCTTATCGGCCCTTAATTAGCTGGATTATCCTTGCCACCCTTCTTAAGCATAGGAACAACACTGGCTATTCTCCAATCCTCTGGGACCTCCCCTGTAGCCAGTGAGATACAAAGATTTCCCTCAAGGCCCCAGCAATTTCCTCCCTTGCCTCTCTCAGTAATTTCATCTAATAATTACAAAAATCAACAGATCAAGTACAGTATGAACTCATTAGCAATGATCACATAAAATGAGCACAGTGGGTTGAGGTTGCACTCTGATGCTGAAGGATTCATGAATTATCTTCTGGGATCCAACTGATTTGAGGTATGTTGTGTTCAATAAAATAATGCATATAATCATGAAAGAATATGACAATTGTATGCCCTAAGAAAGTGCAAATAACCACCTGGCGACTCCTTACAATAAAAATTCACAATAGAAAAGTAAGTCTATAGAAATTAGTAACTGAATATTTTTTAAAAATCTGCAACTTAAATTTCTCAGCACTAACCAACAGAAGAGGTGCCCCTTTCCACAATCCACTGCTGGTGCACTTAGTAGAGGAAAACTTAGTTGGTCCATTGTAGAACCTGATCTTTGACAGGTTAATCTTACTGCTCTTTCACAACCAGGAGTGGGACACCATCTGATAACTGGGTTATTTTCCACAAAAGCCTAAAATGAAAAAAAATTAACGTATTGAAATTTGACAAAGAGCAATTATTAAGAACCAAAGAAAAAGAACGTTTGGTTTAATGCTTTCACATTTGCACAAGCTGGATCAAAACCCAACTCAGGCCAGGTATCCAATTTTGTTTTTTGTTTTTTTTTCAGACTTCCTCGATCCTCAGTATTTTGCTTGTAAGAGACAGAAGTAAAACTGGAACCTCAAAATTTATTAAGATCCGTTGTGTCAATACATTTTCAATAACAACTTTTGAAATTATATTTCTTCATGTTAAATCTTAATGCAAGTTTGTGAAAATTTCCTTCATAACAATGCATTTAACACATCAAAATTTGCCTCAAACAGACAGATAAAAGGAGGGCACAGCATGTTTGGCTTGTTTGTGCCAGTGTTCCCTTCGGGCATACCAGAGGATAGTTGCAAACATGTCAAGGTAGTTTTCAGTACCATACCGGAGAATGGTCATTGGAATGTGCTGGGAATGAGTGATAGCAGGACAGTCAACCAAATTTAACGTGCTCCAATCTAAAAATCACGCACCCGACAGTGTCACTGAATAATGTTTAAAACATAGAAAACCTGGGTGATAATTCATTTTCTGCTGATTGCCTAAGATTACTGGTCTATAATACATCATTGACATGAAGGTAACATTTGTACCTTCTGGCATTAATGTCCAGACTAGTGCTTGCCCAGTGATGCAACTCAGGATGAAACTGAACAGATCAGATCAGATCAGTCTGAACACATGCTTGGGCCATTTTGAAAAAGATATCTACAGTTTCTACTCAGTCAAGAAAGTGCTACTTGAAAACAAAGGTGCAAACGGTGGGTAAACACGAGGAGTCTGGTTCTACAATGATTTGACTGTGAAAATTGGGTTCAAAAGATCAGACTTCTTTTTGCCTTTCATCCAGTACCAGCATATGCAAATCTTGTGATGTGCTGTACCTCCTTCACTGTGGTTTACTGGTTTGGTTACTTTTTGCTGTATCAGTGCCCTGTTTTCAGCTGGAACACCCCAACAGACTCGAAGTACAATGGAGGTCGGGCAACATAAAGAAACAATAGGAAATGTTCAAAAAGGGGCAAAAAAATTGGAGTCTGTGTTTAATATTGCTCCATTTAGCATAGTGCTGTTTTAACATTAAGTTACTGGGGCCAGAAAACATATTAAACATCACTATATTGATTTTAACTTTGTTCGCTGCAGTACCTGACTGAATTGGTGCCAGTTTAGTACAACTGCTACCTCAGAGATTGGGGTTTGCCCCGCGTGCCCAGCCTTCCTGCACCACATCACTGCTTGATATCTGAATCAAGGATGCCAACCCACGAGGCTCCATGACGACGCTCCAAAGCCACTGCTCAGTCCTGCCTGACAACATCTCCACCAACTGCCAGTGCCCCCAGGATCTGCTCTGACATGACAGAAATGCCCGTTTGCTAACTTCAAGGCTCCGATCACCATGCACTTACTCCTTTGTGTTCCTCCTTCACCCCTCAAAAAACAGAGCATCCAGCATCCAGTTGCTCAACTGCACTGCTACAAAGGTTGGGAAAAATGATCTGCTGCAGGAGCCCAAGACCCTAATGAAGCATCCCTGGACTATTTTTTTTGCAAAGGGGGAAAAACGGAGTGAGGATAAGGAACTGATGTTACAACAGGGCATAACATTTCTGTCAGTACATGGCAAGGTTTTCAGCATGGTGCTCCTTAACAGATTTAAACCAGAAGATGGTTGCCTTACTGAAGCTGGTTTCTGGGGTGGCAGATCATGCAGCGAGCAGATCTTTATGCTCAGAACAACTCAGAGCAAATTCTCATCTATCAGAAACTACTTGTTTTCAACTTCATTGATTTCAGGAAAGCCTTCAATAACGTCCATTGCAGGCATTCTGGTATTCAGCAAGGCAAAATGGCATCCTGGAGAGGTAGATTAGTATTTGAGGCATAATTAAAAATCTCAGTTTTGACTAATAAACATACCATGGATTCCTTGAACATCACAGAATAGAGCAAGGCTGCATATCTCTCCAATCCTTTTTGTCTTAGTTACTGATATCATCATGAGTATGGTAATGATTGGTCATAGGTGCAGGGGGAACAGCTTTAGTTCACAAACCTGGATTTTGCAGATGACGTTGCCTTGCTGGGCTCAAGATCTGAATGCACCCTTTAGGGTTTAGAGGGATATAGGCCAAATGCTGGTAAATGGGACTAGATTAATTTAGGATATCCTTATCCAAGAAAAACTACACTGGCATTGTTGGTCATCCAGAGAACATTCACTAAACTGATACCAGGTATGGACTGACTGTGTTAAGAGGAGAGGTTGAGTAGTTCGGGCCTATATCCATTGGAATTTAGAAGACAGAGGTGACTTTATTGAAGTTTACAAGATTCTTAGGGGATTTACAGGATAGATGGGGAAAGATGGTTTCCCCATGGACGGGACCCAGGAGTAGAACAGAATTCCAATCCTTTTCTTCTGCATGGACCCAAGATCTTTGCGGGCAGCCACATCTGGAACCAGATGTCAATGCTACCATCTGAACTGGTACATCGATCATCCTGCGTGGAACATTGGAACACCTGAGCATGCTCATCACAAAGAACCTGCTGAACCCAAGGTCATAGTCCCAGAATAAAGGGATCACACAATTAAGATAGAGGTGAGGAGGAATTTCTTCTCTCAGAAGGTGATGAATCCATGAAATTCTTAACTGCAGACAGCTGTCGAGCCTGGGCCACCAAGCATATTCAAAGCTGTGGCAGAGTTTTAAATCACTAGGGGAATCAAGGGTTATGTAGAAAAGACAACAAAGCAGAATTGAGTATTATCAGATCAGTCATGATCTTATTGAATGGTGGAGCAAAATCAATGTGCTGAATGGCCCATTTCTGCTCCTATGTCTTCTGGCCTCTGCGCTTCATAGCACAGTTACACACTACCTTCATGATCAATACTATTAGAAAACAACTCAAGATTTTCTAATATTTCCTCTAATACCCTTTGAAATATAAACCAAAACTAAAAGTAACACAAGCCTAAAGAACAAGGAATTGTCTTCAATGATACTGTCAACACTTGTCATCATTGTTCCTCTGAAAGTGACAACAACTGGAACCTATACTAGTAACTTTCTTACGGCAGATTGAGTTCATAATCACAGCTGAGTCATCTCTTTGGTCCTAAAGAAACTAATTTTACGTTTTTCAAATGTAACTTGCTTGCATGATGATAGAAATGTTTTACATGTAATAAAAAAGCTTTCAATACTTCCCTATCTCCCCAATTCCTCATATGTCCACTGTTAATACCATTTTACCGACAGTGAGATAAAACAGACCAGGATAACCAGTGTTTTAAATTTCCTAGTCTGTCATCTGTGAAAATTAATGCAATTGGCTGCTTGCTTTACTTGACATTTCTGTAGCTGTTTCCCTGGATCATCCCTCAATTGGTATTTAAAGAGTTACAATAATTAAAGTTCTTGTCATCGTAACTTAATGACATTAGTCAGCAAGTTCCCATTAATCTGTCGCATATTATGTTTTCTACACTTTACTTAAAAGCTTATTACATTACAGCTCAGTTTGCTGGATGGCTGGTTTGCGATGCTTCGCCATGCCAACAGCATAGGTTCATTTCCTGCACTGGCTGAACATTACCATGAAGGACTGTCATTTCTGACCTCTCCCCTCACCTGAGGAATGGAGACCCTCAGGTCAAACCACCATCAGCCATCTCTCTCTAATGACAGCACAGTCCTGTAGTCCTTTTGGACTACGATGACCTTCTCTTACCATATAAGCGAACAGTGTTAGTATCCTAACATTTTTAAGTACATATTATGTAACCGAATACATGAATACTGAATTAAGTAGTTTAAATCACTCTCAGTGGTTATCAGATTGCAAAGCTTACCTTAATGTCAAACTGCAAATAACGTTTGTCCATTTCTCTGGAAACCAAGTTTTCTATGATATCTACAGGAACTAGCTGAAAGCAGTCAAAGGCGGGACAAATTATATTGTGGGCTTCTCCCTCTTGAATCTTGATATTCAAAAACCTGTTGAAAGTATAGCTATTAGTACAAACATTAGGGAATCGGACGTGCCTTAATAGATAATTACGAGTTCAAACCAGCCAAAACTTAACAGATCAGATTTTGAGATTAGCAGTGAATGAACCAGTTACCAGCTGTGTTACATTTTAAACAGTTTTTATGTTTTAGACAGTTTGGATTTGCACTGCAACTTGTTTCAATTAGAGATTTCAGTACAAATGGTGGACAAATTAACCTTTATTAAAGCATTAAACTTAAACCCCTGAGAATATCATTGACAATGCCTGCTGAGTACAATTGAGAAATCTGTAGTCAGGATCAATTATCTAAATTTTAACTGGCAATGCCAACATGATCAACAAAACAAAAAAAAAAATCAAATTTCTGTCAGTGAATACTTAATTATGACATTATCCGGTATCTGGAATGTTGGAGATGGGACACAATTTGGGAGACCCATGTCAGGGCCCCACGGAAGGCCTATTGGGCACATATGTCCAAGACATGCATCGAAGACACAGGGGGATTTGCCTGCATACTTACCTTGGAAACGTCATGCTGGTTGATACATGTTCCAGCTCAAAGATTAAGAAGCATAACTAAGCTGAGCATCACACCTGTGCAATGAGCCACTCCCACAGACACCATCTTCATCAGTGATAACTGTACTGACTGTTTGGAGACTTTCATTGGGATGAGATGTCCCAGGTGAAACATCAGAAATTGGTTGGGTCAAAGAAATCTTTCTGGGTCATGTCAATGCATGCAACTTTGAGGCTGACTACGAGGTCTGAGGCAATCAATACTGGTGTGTCCTTCTAGTTTTGTTTTACATTGTAACTTGATTAGTTTCTAGTTTGAGAAAATGAATACAAAGAATTCAAGGAGGTAATTTGCAAAGAAAAAGGAATTTGAGGAGAATGACACAAGTGTGAGGGTGACTTGGGCAAGAAAAACAAAATCAGTCGTGAGTAGAAAGATGTGAATATCACTGTTAAACAAGATCTTGGAATCTCCCCTGATTCACACTGGAGCTCACTAAAAATCATTCATGTTGTGGTATTTGGTTTTACTCATTTTCAGCAGCAATCACAGTTTTTTGGAGATGAGTTGCCAAACCTCCTGTATTAGAAACCTGTTGGACAATGCTGCCTTAGAAAGGTAACTTTAGATGTTTCAAATCTAGAATTTCAATTTTAGTTTCTTTTGAACACTTATATACAGTATAATTATATGAAAGATATGGGGCAGGAATGTTGAAAGCAGTGCAATGTCACGGAGTATTATTTTAAGTGCTGATTTTAAAACAAAATTCTGCTGCTCATCTTTAAACACGAACTATTCTTTTTTGAGCATTTCTGGCCATTCGTATTTTCTCACCCAACTCCACAAGGTCTGACTATACAATCAGTAAAGCAATATATTAGATAATACATCAAGTTTTGCTTACAGGCGAGAAATTTTGTGAAATTGTTCAATAGTTGTATGACATACTTTTTAAGGGTAACTTGCTTTGAGGTATGCAGTCTATTATTTTTATGCACAGACATCACAAACAAGGAGCACAGAGAGATGTACAGATCTTTCATGGCTATGTGGAAACACAGCAGAGGAAATCGCTGAGCTAGTCAACCTTGCTATGCCTTATGTTACAGGGCACCTTCTGCAATCATGAGTTAGTCCAGAGGCTTGCTGCCCACAATGCAACTGGCACTGGTGTTCATTGATTTACATTGGATCATCACCAAACAACCGAAATTTTAAAGTTCTACACTGTTAAATTTCTTCATGACCTCACCTGCTCACCCCACCGCTCTCAATCTGTGACCTCTTCCTATCCTTCAACTTTCAAAAGAATTTCTTGTGTTTTAGATTGCCCTAAACAAAAAATTGTTAGAACACAGGAGGCCACTTTTTGGCCCATGTTTTTACTTCCTCTACTAATAAGCAATTCATTCAGTGCCATTCCCTGGCCACCTTCATGTGACCCTGTACATTCTTCCCTTATAACTGTATAATTCTCTTTCGAATGCTACAGTTGAACATGTTTCCAACATACTCTCCAGCAATGCACTCCAGATCTTACTTCATGAAAACGTCACTTTTGCATCTATTACCAATTACATCAAATCCATGCCCTGTCGTTTTGATCCCTTCACAAAGTTTTACAGAAAACAGATACCTATTATTTAAGGTCAGCATCCTGGAAGATAAACTATTTTTTTTAAACTGGCTCTTTCAAGGGCAATAAGTCTGCTGTTCCAGCAGCAGCAAAATGCCAAGATGCCATACCATCTTAAGTATAAGAAATTATCCCAAGGTATTTAAATTGTGTTTATTCAGTGTTTTAGCATAATAAAACATCCCAAGACAGTTCACAGGAAACTTATAAAGAAAACACGACATTAAGGCATACTAAGAGATTTGAGATTTGCTTTGCTAAAGTCGTGGATTTTCAGGAGCATTCAAAGAAGGCGAGTATGAGAAGTGGTGACATTTGGCAAGGAAATTCCAGAATTTTGAGGATTAATTAATTGTCGTGGCATTTCACAGGAGTCATACAAAGCAAAATTAGACAAAATTAAGGCAGTACAGTGGCTCAGTGGCTAGCACTACTGCCTCAGTGCTAGGGACCAGGTTCAGTTCCAACCTTGGGCGACCGTTTGTGTGGAGTCTGCACATTCTCCCGACATCTGCATCGGTTTCCTCCCACAGTCCAAAGATGTGCAGGTTAGGTGGCTTAGCCACATTAAATTGCCCAATGTCCAGGGGTGTGCAGGCTAGGTGGATTAGCCATGGGAAATATAGAGTTACAGGGATGGGGGATGGGCGGGGGTCTGGGTCTGGGTCTGGGTGGGATGTTCTTCAGAGGGTCAGTGTGAACTCGATGGGGCAAATGACCTGTTTCCACGTTGTAGGGATTCAATGGTTACACTGAACCGTATAATGCGATATTAGGATTTATCACCAAAAGTGCTTGGTCAAAGAGGTAAGTTTCAAGAATTGTTTTAAGAGGATGGACAAGAAACTGAGGGGTTTAGGGAGAGAATTCCTAAACTAGGGCACAGACAAAAAGGAAGGAAAAGGAGAAAAAAGCTTAAATGAAAGGAAGTAAAAAGTGATGGGTTCAGGTCTGCACCAACAGCCAAAATGTGTGCAAGAGTGGACACAGGGAATGCTCAGCTACAACAGATAAAAGACTTGACATTAATAAATCGTCTATTCGCATGGCATCTTGTCAAAAAGTATTTGAATACTAAGGTTGTGTCAAATGGGTGATCTAAATCTACAAGTCTATTAACATTAAAAATTCAAAAGTCATCTATTTTCCCTAGAAGCCACACCAAATCTCCTTTCTTTGTCATGAAGTACACCTTAACAATCCCTTCTATAAACTTGCCTTGAACTAGAGTGACTTTGTAAATTCCCATTTCTAACTTATTGAACTGCAAGCCTACATAGACCTCTTTCCAGATCACAGGCAAGATTTTTGCCTCCAACGAACTGCTGAATGCTTGTGCCAACGACTGGCAAAGGACAGTCCAGTTTCTTTAATTGCCTGTGGCCAAATGCATTAGTCTGATCAGTTTGGAAATATCTTATTCCATTTGGTCCTTTTAAATTTTATAATTGTGTCAACTACAAGAGAACCATTTTCTCTTCAGTTGTAAAGATGACATGCCTCAGATTTAATATATCAGACAGCAAAATAGAAGAATAAGCAAAAATATTTTCCCAAGATACCTGCAAAATAGAAAGCACAATATTTAGTACTGTAATTACAGGATTAGAAATGGGAAAGGGGTGGTGAAGTACCTTTAAAAAAAGACATTTCTGCAGATCGACGTAAGCCACTTTCCCATTGTTTCAAGAAAAAGGAGTGAAACTCTGAAAGCTTGTGATTTCAAATAAACCTGGTGGACTATAACCTGGTGTCGTGTGATTTTTAATCTTGTCCACCCCAGTCCAACACCGGCACCTCCGCATCAATTTCAGCATGATACTTACCCTTCCCAGCATCCTCGGCAAAATTCATGACCACAAGGCACATCTACAGGATCTTCAAACACAGAAATGTTGCACAAGCAAATGCCACACTGTGGAAAAATAAATTATTGCAAATAATTATGTAAAACAAAAACATGTAACTTTAATAAGACTGTGAACCATTATCACAATTCTCAAATTTTTCCAATTTGGACAAAAGTCTGTTTGTTTTTTGTGATGAAAGGCAGCTTGGTTTTCTTTCGCTTACAGCTAGTGGGAGAAGTCTCCATTGATCCACAAAGCCTCGTGGCAGAAAGCAATCAGCTTGAATAGTTAGGCTGTAAAGCGCCTCAGAGAGCAGACTTAACCAAAAGTGATGAAAGAATTCACATCTCATAGGTAACCCTGAGGAATAGCAATGCATACAAAGGAGAATTCAAATATATGCCAGCTGGAAGTAGCATACCTACTATGTTGGACCCAGGAAAAACGAATTAAATTTATGATTTCATAATATAAGGGAACTCTTGAGGTGTTGGTGGAGAAGAATAAAATTTAGAACTGAGCTGATAGCATCATCAATGCAAGAAATTTGTATTAAAAATGAAATTTTGTGCTGTAATCCTTTTTGTTGATCACTAGGTTTTCAAATTTCTTTTTTGAATGTTAAAATTCAACAGGTTTATAAAAATTTTCCAAAATTCACATTTGAGAATATTAGCTCAAATTTTCTGTTGCCTAGTTACAGTTATAGAGTCAATGAGTAATACAGCATGGAAACAGTCCTTTTAGCCAAAACTGATCCATGCTGACCATGATGCCTGCTCAGCTAGTTCAAATTACCCGCATTTGGCCCATATCCCTCTAAATCCTTCTCATCCATTTACCTATCCAAATGTTTTTTAAATGTTGTTATCGTGCTGTCTCTAACCACTCTCTGGTAGCCCATTCCATAAACACACCACTCTCCGCATGAAGAAGTTGCCCCTCAGGTCCTTCTTAAATCTATCCCCTCTAGTTAAAACTTAAACCTATGACCTCTAGTTTTCAATTCTCCATCCCTGGGAAAAAGACTATA